ACAGCGACGCACAACACTACTGCATTAGCAAACAGCGACGCACAACACTACTGCATTAGCAAACAGCGACACACAACACTACTGTATTAGCAAACAGCGACGCACAACACTACTGCATTAGCAAACAGCGACACACAACACTACTGTATTAGCAAACAGCAACACACAACACTACTGCATTAGCAAACAGCGACACACAACGGCAACGCACAACACTACTGTATTAGCAAACAGCGACGCACAACACTACTGCATTAGCAAACAGCGACGCACAACACTACTGCATTACCAAACAGCGACACACAACACTACTGCATTACCAAACAGCGACGCACAACACTACTGTATTAGTATAGACACAGAGACACAGGTACATATAGACACAGAGAGACACAGGTACATATAGACACAGGTACATATAGACACAGAGACACACAGGTACATATAGACCCAGAGACACAGGTACATATAGACACAGAGACACAGGTACATATAGACACAGAGACACAGGTACATATAGACACAGAGACACAGGTACATATAGACCCAGAGACACAGGTACATATAGACACAGGTACATATAGACACAGGTACATATAGACACAGGTACATATAGACACAGAGACACACAGGTACATATAGACCCAGAGACACAGGTACATATAGACACAGAGACACAGGTACATATAGACACAGAGACACACAGGTACATATAGACCCAGAGACACAGGTACATATAGACACAGAGACACACAGGTACATATAGACACAGAGACACAGGTACATATAGACACAGAGACACAGGTACATATAGACACAGGTACATATAGACACAGGTACATATAGACACAGGTACATATAGACACAGGTACATATAGACACAGAGACACACAGGTACATATAGACACAGAGACACAGGTACATATAGACACAGAGACACAGGTACATATAGACACAGAGACACACAGGTACATATAGACACAGAGACACAGGTACATATAGACACAGAGACACAGGTACATATAGACACAGGTACATATAGACACAGGTACATATAGACACAGAGACACACAGGTACATATAGACCCAGAGACACAGGTACATATAGACACAGAGACACAGGTACATATAGACACAGAGACACAGGTACATATAGACACAGAGACACAGGTACATATAGACACAGAGACACACAGGTACATATAGACCCAGAGACACAGGTACATATAGACACAGAGACACAGGTACATATAGACCCAGAGACACAGGTACATATAGACCCAGAGACACAGGTACATATAGACACAGAGACACAGGTACATATAGACCCAGAGACACAGGTACATATAGACACAGGTACATATAGACACAGAGAGACACAGGTACATATAGACACAGAGACACAGGTACATATAGACACAGAGACACAGGTACATATAGACACAGAGACACAGGTACATATAGACACAGAGAGACACAGGTACATATAGACACAGAGACACAGGTACATATAGACACAGAGACACAGGTACATATAGACACAGAGACACAGGTACATATAGACACAGAGAGACACAGGTACATATAGACACAGAGAGACACAGGTACATATAGACACAGAGACACAGGTACATATAGACACAGGTACATATAGACACAGAGAGACACAGGTACATATAGACACAGAGACACGGGTACATATAGACACAGGTACATATAGACACAGAGAGACACAGGTACATATAGACACAGAGACACAGGTACATATAGACACAGAGACACAGGTACATATAGACACAGAGACACAGGTACATATAGACACAGAGACACAGGTACATATAGACACAGAGACACAGGTACATATAGACACAGAGAGACACAGGTACATATAGACACAGAGAGACACAGGTACATATAGACACAGAGACACAGGTACATATAGACACAGGTACATATAGACACAGAGAGACACAGGTACATATAAACACAGAGACACAGGTACATATAGACACAGAGAGACACAGGTACATATAGACACAGAGACACAGGTACATACAGACACAGAGACACAGGTACATATAGACACAGAGACACAGGTACATATAGACACAGAGACACAGGTACATATAGACACAGAGAGACACAGGTACATATAGACACAGAGACACAGGTACATATAGACACAGGTACATATAGACACAGAGAGACACAGGTACATATAGACACAGAGACACAGGTACATATAGACACAGAGAGACACAGGTACATATAGACACAGAGAGACACAGGTACATATAGACACAGAGACACAGGTACATATAGACACAGAGACACAGGTACATATAGACACAGAGACACAGGTACATATAGACACAGAGACACAGGTACATATAGACACAGAGAGACACAGGTACATATAGACACAGGTACATATAGACACACAGAGGGCAGAGTATTAACACAGAGGAACCAGACGGACTGTAAAACTAAAAATGAAACCACAGAGAACCAGAACAAAACAAACCGAGCCAATCCAGACCATGCCGAGTAAACGTTAAAGCTTTAAAACACTGCATCTAAATATTTAAAGAGACAGTTTCTCTCTGGACCCAGTCACAGCCAAAGTATGTGACATCACCATGTGTGTGTTTGGGTCCAACATCACACGGTTGGTAGAGCATTGGCCTTTGAGCCTGAAGGTTGTGGGTTCGAGCCCATCATGAGACCTTTTCCACTGACTCTTCTGACGTCTGCTGTCGTTGTGTTCTTGGGCAAGACACTTTTCCCCACTTTGCCTGTGAGCAGCAGTAATGGACGCTGCCTGCCTTTCCTTCTTCTTCGATTTGTTTTGTACAGTGCTGTATTTTGTACAGACCTCATCGAGCACGTCATAATTCTCGGTTTAAAAATACAGACTTTTTAAGCTTCTGCTTCTGTACCGTTGGAGGTCGGTGTGAGCCGCCACCTCAGCACATTCACAGAGTTTGAAGTAATCACTCAGAAGCAGAACAGAGGCTGCTAATTGTTTGTGCCAAATATAAAACCAACGTTAGCGCTTCATTACAGAGAAATAAAAAAACAAGCGCTAATCACAGACCGCCGCGCGCCTTTGAAGGTTTTCCACCTCTTTGTGATTACTATAAAGAATACTGGGTGCAATTCCAAAGCAGCAAAAGCCAATAAAGACATACACACAAAACATATTTAACAACAAAAAACCGTTGAACAAAGAACGAAGCAAAAGTTGTAAAGATTATTTCATGTCGACATCAGACTTGGCCGTATCCGTGTCTTGATGTGTGGATGTGCGGTGGAGAAACCAGAGCGTGGCACACTTGTGAGGTCTGATGGTTTGATCTTCCATGCAGGCTGCAGGACTTGAATCGCGGCTCATCAAACAGAATGCTACAGATGGTCCAAGGTTCTTCCTCCAGAATCAGACGTGGCTCAGAATAGACACACGCCGGCGCCCATTGTGTGAGACGCAAAGAGAAACCGTTTTAGTTACGCCGCTTTTGAGGCATTGTTTTGTGGACCTCGGCACAAAGACAAACAAAGGGAGACAGGGAGGGTTTTGTGGCGTAATGAAGGTCTTCAGACAACGCAAGTTTTCATCAAGATTCCCATTTTACTGTTAAAAAAACGTCTATTTCTAGTCTGGCTTGTTTCATTATAAGAACTAATGAAAATAAACCGCACAGTGTGGGCTGAAGGGGCCGCGCTGACATCAGAAGCATCCTCTGCCATGTTGGTTTTATATACCCAGGTCTTACCACACCATGGTACTCATTTCATACTAAGGTCTGGATTTGCTCCATTGACTCCGTTAACAGGTGGGAGGGGCTAACTCCTTTTGCAGATTGAAACCATTGGATCTGAGTTTACTGCGTACTACATTTAAAATATTTTCATGTCTGACTAAGAAATGACTTCTGAAAAAGCAAGTATTTTGTGTGAGAGAGAGAGAGAGATTTTATTTATATTCATTTTCAACCGGTTTATTTGTCCATTTCTGGGTCGGGGGGGGGGGTGCACTAGTCCCTCTGATCCTCTGCAGGGGGTGAGTCCACAGGGAGATGGCTGCTACATGAGCAGTGCCACAGCCTTGGTGCTTCAACTGTATTTATTGGTATTAAATTAATTGTTTTGTGAATGATGTTATTTAAAGTGTGTAAATGTAAGACACGGTCATGTATGTATCTACGTTATCTACATAGAATCTGTTTAAATGAATATAACATCAGGGACAACAGGTGGAAATTAGAATTTTGCTATAACCTGCTACAAAACATCTCTCCTTTGTGCTAATGTTTAACTGTACTCTGTCCCTGCTCAGATAAAGCAGACACCATACCGTATGTTTAGTTCTGACTCTGGGGAGGCTGCTTTTCAGACTCATGCTGCTAAAATCTGGAACAGTCTTCCTGAAGATGTGAGACAGGCCTCTTCTCTGACAATGTTTAAAACCAGTTTAAAAACAGTTCTGTTTAGCTGCAAATACAACTGAGGGATTTTATGGCAATCAAGTAAAAAGAACGGCTGAACTATGTTTGTGTCATGGTGTGGATTTATGTTTGTGCTTTGGTTTTATTTTGATCAGATTCTGGGTTGCCCGCACTGCAGAGTGGCTGATGTTTAGACCGGCGTTTTTCTGAGACTGTTTCTGACCAGTTTGTGGGGATGTTTACTGTGTGTATCCTCTTCCCACTGAGCAGTAGCTAGAACTCTGTCAGTAAAATAAAATTAATCACAAGCCATATGAGACTTGTAGATCCAGCACAGAACCGTTCATTCCAAACCGGGCCGCCTCGTTTTTATCGGGGAGATATTTGCGTAAAATAATCTCCAGCTGCATCCATTTGAGTCGGTGAGTAAACAGCGCCGTCGCAGTTTATAATGCATGTATGCGGATGCTCAGCCACCCGGAAACACTCTGACAAACATGCAGCATTTGTGGATAAAAGCTGCAGCGAGAGACCGACCATGAAAGGACCACTCACCTGTTCTCTGTCCCCTCTGCTGCTTCCATGTCCCCTCTGCTGCTCCCATGTCCCCTCTGCTGCTTCCATACATGTCCTCTCTGCTGCTTCCATAAATGTCCCCTCTGCTGCTTCCATGTCCCCTCTGCTGCTTCCATGCATGTCCTCTCTGCTGCTTCCATACATGTCCCCTCTGCTGCTTCCATGCATGTCCTCTCTGCTGCTTCCATACATGTCCTCTCTGCTGCTTCCATACATGTCCCCTCTGCTGCTTCCATGCATGTCCTCTCTGCTGCTTCCATACATGTCCTCTCTGCTGCTTCCATACATGTCCCCTCTGTTGCTTCCATACATGTCCCCTCTGCTGCTTCCATACATGTCCCCTCTGCTGCTTCCATACATGTCCCCTCTGCTGCTTCCATGTCCCCTCTGCTGCTTCCATACATGTCCCCTCTGCTGCTTCCATGTCCCCTCTGCTGCTTCCATGCATGTCCCCTCTGCTGCTTCCATACATGTCCCCTCTGCTGCTTCCATACATGTCCCCTCTGCTGCTTCCATGTCCCCTCTGCTGCTTCCATACATGTCCCCTCTGCTGCTTCCATACATGTCCCCTCTGCTGCTTCCATACATGTCCCCTCTGCTGCTTCCATGCATGTCCTCTCTGCTGCTTCCATACATGTCCTCTCTGCTGCTTCCATACATGTCCCCTCTGCTGCTTCCATGTCCCCTCTGCTGCTTCCATACATGTCCCCTCTACTGCTTCAATGCATGTCCCCTCTGCTGCTTCCATACATGTCCCCTCTGCTGCTTCCAAACATGTCCCCTCTGCTGCTTCCATACATGTCCCCTCTGCTGCTTCCATGCATGTCCTCTCTGCTGCTTCCATACATGTCCCCTCTGCTGCTTCCATGCATGTCCCCTCTGCTGCTTCCATGCATGTCCCCTCTGCTGCTCCCATGTCCCCTCTGCTGCTTCCATACATGTCCCCTCTGCTGCTTCCATACATGTCCCCTCTGCTGCTTCCATGCATGTCCCCTCTGCTGCTTCCATGTCCCCTCTGCTGCTTCCATACATGTCCCCTCTGCTGCTTCCATGCATGTCCCCTCTGCTGCTTCCATGCATGTCCCCTCTGCTGCTTCCATACATGTCCCCTCTGCTGCTTCCATGTCCCCTCTGCTGCTTCCATGCATGTCCCCTCTGCTGCTTCCATACATGTCCCCTCTGCTGCTTCCATACATGTCCCCTCTGCTGCTTCCATACATGTCCCCTCTGCTGCTTCCATACATGTCCCCTCTGCTGCTTCCATGCATGTCCCCTCTGCTGCTTCCATACATGTCCCCTCTGCAGCTTCCATACATGTCCCCTCTGCTGCTTCCATACATGTCCCCTCTGCTGCTTCCATACATGTCCCCTCTGCTGCTTCCATACATGTCCCCTCTGCTGCTTCCATACATGTCCCCTCTGCTGCTTCCATACATGTCCCCTCTGCTGCTTCCATGCATGTCCTCTCTGCTGCTTCCATGCATGTCCCCTCTGCAGCTTCCATACATGTCCCCTCTGCTGCTTCCATACATGTCCCCTCTGCTGCTTCCATACATGTCCCCTCTGCTGCTTCCATACATGTCCCCTCTGCTGCTTCCATACATGTCCCCTCTGCTGCTTCCATACATGTCCCCTCTGCTGCTTCCATACATGTCCCCTCTGCTGCTTCCATACATGTCCCCTCTGCTGCTTCCATACATGTCCCCTCTGTTGCTTCCATACATGTCCCCTCTGCTGCTTCCATACATGTCCCCTCTGCTGCTTCCATACATGTCCCCTCTGCTGCTTCCATGTCCACTCTGCTGCTTCCATACATGTCCCCTCTGCTGCTTCCATGTCCCCTCTGCTGCTTCCATGCATGTCCCCTCTGCTGCTTCCATACATGTCCCCTCTGCTGCTTCCATACATGTCCCCTCTGCTGCTTCCATGTCCCCTCTGCTGCTTCCATACATGTCCCCTCTGCTGCTTCCATACATGTCCCCTCTGCTGCTTCCATACATGTCCCCTCTGCTGCTTCCATGCATGTCCTCTCTGCTGCTTCCATACATGTCCTCTCTGCTGCTTCCATACATGTCCCCTCTGCTGCTTCCATGTCCCCTCTGCTGCTTCCATACATGTCCCCTCTACTGCTTCAATGCATGTCCCCTCTGCTGCTTCCATACATGTCCCCTCTGCTGCTTCCAAACATGTCCCCTCTGCTGCTTCCATACATGTCCCCTCTGCTGCTTCCATGCATGTCCTCTCTGCTGCTTCCATACATGTCCCCTCTGCTGCTTCCATGCATGTCCCCTCTGCTGCTTCCATGCATGTCCCCTCTGCTGCTCCCATGTCCCCTCTGCTGCTTCCATACATGTCCCCTCTGCTGCTTCCATACATGTCCCCTCTGCTGCTTCCATGCATGTCCCCTCTGCTGCTTCCATGTCCCCTCTGCTGCTTCCATACATGTCCCCTCTGCTGCTTCCATGCATGTCCCCTCTGCTGCTTCCATGCATGTCCCCTCTGCTGCTTCCATACATGTCCCCTCTGCTGCTTCCATGTCCCCTCTGCTGCTTCCATGCATGTCCCCTCTGCTGCTTCCATACATGTCCCCTCTGCTGCTTCCATACATGTCCCCTCTGCTGCTTCCATACATGTCCCCTCTGCTGCTTCCATACATGTCCCCTCTGCTGCTTCCATGCATGTCCCCTCTGCTGCTTCCATACATGTCCCCTCTGCAGCTTCCATACATGTCCCCTCTGCTGCTTCCATACATGTCCCCTCTGCTGCTTCCATACATGTCCCCTCTGCTGCTTCCATACATGTCCCCTCTGCTGCTTCCATACATGTCCCCTCTGCTGCTTCCATACATGTCCCCTCTGCTGCTTCCATGCATGTCCTCTCTGCTGCTTCCATGCATGTCCCCTCTGCAGCTTCCATACATGTCCCCTCTGCTGCTTCCATACATGTCCCCTCTGCTGCTTCCATACATGTCCCCTCTGCTGCTTCCATACATGTCCCCTCTGCTGCTTCCATACATGTCCCCTCTGCTGCTTCCATACATGTCCCCTCTGCTGCTTCCATACATGTCCCCTCTGCTGCTTCCATACATGTCCCCTCTGCTGCTTCCATACATGTCCCCTCTGCTGCTTCCATGCATGTCCCCTCTGCTGCTTCCATACATGTCCCCTCTGCAGCTTCCATACATGTCCTCTCTGCTGCTTCCATACATGTCCCCTCTGCTGCTTCCATACATGTCCCCTCTGCTGCTTCCAAACATGTCCCCTCTGCTGCTTCCATACATGTCCCCTCTGCTGCTTCCATACATGTCCTCTGCTGCTTCCATACATGTCCCCTCTGCTGCTTCCATACATGTCCCCTCTGCTGCTTCCATGCATGTCCCCTCTGCTGCTTCCATACATGTCCCCTCTGCTGCTTCCATACATGTCCCCTCTGCTGCTTCCATACATGTCCCCTCTGCTGCTTCCATACATGTCCCCTCTGCTGCTTCCATACATGTCCCCTCTGCTGCTTCCATGTCCCCTCTGCTGCTTCCATACATGTCCCCTCTGCTGCTTCCATACATGTCCCCTCTGCTGCTTCCATACATGTCCCCTCTGCTGCTTCCATACATGTCCCCTCTGCTGCTTCCATACATGTCCCCTCTGCTGCTTCCATGTCCCCTCTGCTGCTTCCATACATGTCCCCTCTGCTGCTTCCATACATGTCCCCTCTGCTGCTTCCATACATGTCCCCTCTGCTGCTTCCATGTCCCCTCTGCTGCTTCCATGCATGTCCCCTCTGTTGCTTCCATACATGTCCCCTCTGCTGCTTCCATACATGTCCCCTCTGCTGCTTCCATGTCCCCTCTGCTGCTTCCATACATGTCCCCTCTGTTGCTTCCATACATGTCCCCTCTGTTGCTTCCATACATGTCCCCTCTGCTGCTTCCATACATGTCCCCTCTGCTGCTTCCATGTCCCCTCTGCTGCTTCCATGCATGTCCCCTCTGCTGCTTCCATGTCCCCTCTGCTGCTTCCATACATGTCCCCTCTGTTGCTTCCATACATGTCCCCTCTGCTGCTTCCATGTCCCCTCTGCTGCTTCCATGTCCCCTCTGCTGCTTCCATGCATGTCCCCTCTGCTGCTTCCATGCATGTCCCCTCTGCTGCTTCCATACATGTCCCCTCTGCTGCTTCCATACATGTCCCCTCTGTTGCTTCCATACATGTCCCCTCTGTTGCTTCCATACATGTCCCCTCTGCTGCTTCCATGTCCCCTCTGCTGCTTCCATGTCCCCTCTGCTGCTTCCATGCATGTCCCCTCTGCTGCTTCCATGCATGTCCCCTCTGCTGCTTCCATACATGTCCCCTCTGTTGCTTCCATACATGTCCCCTCTGCTGCTTCCATACATGTCCCCTCTGCTGCTTCCATGTCCCCTCTGTTGCTTCCATACATGTCCCCTCTGCTGCTTCCATGTCCCCTCTGCTGCTTCCATGCATGTCCCCTCTGCTGCTTCCATACATGTCCCCTCTGCTGCTTCCATACATGTCCCCTCTGCTGCTTCCATACATGTCCCCTCTGCTGCTTCCATACATGTCCCCTCTGCTGCTTCCATGTCCCCTCTGTTGCTTCCATGCATGTCCCCTCTGCTGCTTCCATACATGTCCCCTCTGCTGCTTCCATACATGTCCCCTCTGCTGCTTCCATACATGTCCCCTCTGCTGCTTCCATGCATGTCCCCTCTGCTGCTTCCATACATGTCCCCTCTGCTGCTTCCATACATGTCCCCTCTGCTGCTTCCATGCATGTCCCCTCTGCTGCTTCCATACATGTCCCCTCTGCTGCTTCCATACATGTCCCCTCTGCTGCTTCCATGTCCCCTCTGCTGCTTCCATACATGTCCCCTCTGCTGCTTCCATACATGTCCCCTCTGCTGCTTCCATACATGTCCCCTCTGCTGCTTCCATGTCCCCTCTGTTGCTTCCATGCATGTCCCCTCTGCTGCTTCCATACATGTCCCCTCTGCTGCTTCCATACATGTCCCCTCTGCTGCTTCCATACATGTCCCCTCTGCTGCTTCCATGCATGTCCCCTCTGCTGCTTCCATACATGTCCCCTCTGCTGCTTCCATACATGTCCCCTCTGCTGCTTCCATGCATGTCCCCTCTGCTGCTTCCATACATGTCCCCTCTGCTGCTTCCATACATGTCCCCTCTGCTGCTTCCATGTCCCCTCTGCTGCTTCCATGCATGTCCCCTCTGCTGCTTCCATGTCCCCTCTGCTGCTTCCATACATGTCCCCTCTGCTGCTTCCATACATGTCCCCTCTGCTGCTTCCATGCATGTCCCCTCTGCTGCTTCCATACATGTCCCCTCTGCTGCTTCCATGTCCCCTCTGCTGCTTCCATACATGTCCCCTCTGCTGCTTCCATACATGTCCTCTCTGCTGCTTCCATACATGTCCCCTCTGCTGCTTCCATGCATGTCCCCTCTGCTGCTTCCATACATGTCCTCTCTGCTGCTTCCATACATGTCCCCTCTGTTGCTTCCATACATGTCCCCTCTGCTGCTTCCATACATGTCCCCTCTGCTGCTTCCCTACATGTCCCCTCTGCTGCTTCCATACCTGCCTCACACTGCTTTATGCTGTAGGATTAAACAACAAGGAGCATTATACAGATCCAATGCATCATGTAAGGGATAATGTATAGTAGGCAGGTCATTATCAAAAAATGAGTATTTTTGTCATGAAAACCTTCAGAACAGATACTTCTGAAAACCTGTGTATTAAAAATGTATTTGTATAATGTATTCTCACATGAACATTTAAATGTAAATGGATAACCCCGATAGCGACGAAGTGGCCGGAACTACTTGCGGAGTAATCTACATCTGAATTACAAGCAGAGAGTGCGTTGCCAAAGGGCAGCGGTCATTATTGTTTTGATAGGTCCGTTATCAAGAAATAATGACTGATAATAATTTACTTTTCTGAACTGGCCAAATATGTTTAAAGTGTAGGGATTATTTAACAAGTCTGAAAACAACACTTTTGCCTTAGCAACCGTTGTTAAGAGAAATGGGAACTACTTTAATTGACACACAGACTAAACATTAACATTTACACAAAACAAATAAGTATAAATTCTTGGTTCTTTTCTTCTCATTCCTCAGAGGTTTTGTTATGTCAAAAAAAATTAAAATTCACCTTGAAATCCATATTTTCCGGCGTTATTAGTCACTACGGCTGACAGTTTATTTGATCTGTTACAGTTACTATGGCAACAACTTCTCAGAACCTTGCACAGTTTCTCCAATGTGGTTTTACTGCAAATGGAAAATGAACCCTTGAATCTTGAGTTCAATCTTTTGAGTTAAACTTCTGCGTCAGTCTCACGTTTCTCGTTTTGTTTCGGCTTTTTCTTTTTGTTGCCATAAGTTTGAACAGAATCTCAAACTTTTCCAAAGCACTTTCGTAGCATTCTCTGACAAAAGTAAACAAGAATTTACGATTTCCCTGACAGTAATTGTGCTTTGTTTTTGTAATTTATCTGACAGATATTTGTGAATTAATGTGTTTCAATCAATGCTACAGTATTTATCTGTAATTACGCCCCCTGTGGGACCGTAAACATGATTCTACGTGATGGGAAACGCAATTACACTTATTTTTTACACTTTTAATCACGTTGTTTGATTGACACATCCAAAACTGTGGCCCCACTGTTCACCTTTCTCTTTTTTGTTGCCGTTTCTTCAGCTTCTGCGTTAGACAAGCTGCTAACACAGACTTGATATTAAGGTTAATATGTATTTTCTGATCATACAGCACCTTTGACAGATAAATGCAATGTTGAAAATATAACTACAGGAGATAAAAGGAAGTCCAAGTGCTCACAATAACCATTAACCTTGTTCAGAGCTGGTCTGACGACAGCATTTACTGAAAGGTTGCATTTTTGGGTGACATAAATATCAAAAGCTTTGGGAAACAGAGAATGCTAAACAGACGTAGTTTATAAAAGCGTCCTCAGATTTGGCACCAGCTGCAGTCTGTGTGGTTGTTACGGCAAAGATATGGATCTCCTTCAGCCACAGGTGTGAAAACCTCTCAGGATTCTTCAGCCTTGAGTTTCTTTTTAGGGAAGCAATAGATTATGGGTTTGGAAACGGCTCTCCAGGACTCAGAAGTTGCACATGTGAGCACTCCAAGTAGAATCCCCCGAAAAATGATTCTTATAAAAGCCACATGTTATTTTCTGTATCGTTCTCTGTGGTCTGTTGTTGACAAATTGACAAGTTTGTAAAGTCCTCAGAGATGCCTATTTTTTCACATTTTGCTTAAGAAATGCAGCAGTATTGTCCTGTGAGAGGCTGATTCGCTGACTTCCTAATCAACGTGATGACCACACCCCTCAGGATGACATCATGAGCCTTCTCTCTCCTGATTTGAGGAGGAGAAAGGGGCGGGCTTATGTGGGCAGTGTACATTGTACTTTAGTCATGTCGGGACGAAAGAGACGGAGAAGCGTCTGTGGCGGCTGTTGTGCTCTGGAAAATCAGCTCAAATCTCTTCAAACACGGATATCTATTGTGGAAACAGAAATGGGACTAAACCCGACTCTTCCAATGAGTGAAAATGGGATGAATGGACAGACTGGAAATGTAAGTTATGACGTCATTTCTTTTCCCAAAATCAACAATGAGAATTATTGGAACAATTGTGGAGCTAAACCCAAAGTTGACAAAGCTAAGAATGACAATAGGAGTGAAATAAGGCCACAACTAAATGTTCTGAAGACTTCAAACCGCTTTTTACCCCTTTCTGAAACAACAAAGCCGCTAAAAACTGCAGCGCCTCCACCAAGGACAAACTGTGTCCTTATCGGAGATGGTTCGGTGAAAAATGTAAACATGGAGTCCATGCTCACTGTCTCAGTTCACTCTGCAAAAGTTGCTGAGATAAGGTCTCTTCTGCCTAAAGTGTTATCTGAGAACAGTGGTGTGCGTACATTATTGATCCACACGGGGGCGGTAGATATCTATGAGAAGGCAAGCGAGAAGTTACGAATGGATTTAACGCTGTTACTGGATGACCTCAAGAAAATGGACATAAACATTTTTCTTAGTGGCCCACTTCCAAATATAGATGGAAAAATGGAGAAGTTTAGCCGTCTGTATCAGCTAAATACATTCCTACTCAATGAGTGTTCACGCAGAGGACTTGGCTTCATTGAAAACTTTAATCTGTTCTGGAATAGGCACGAGCTTTTTGAAGAAAAAGGTCCACATCTGAACAACTACGGAGTAAAAGTGTTGATGGATA